TTTCTTAAATACGTAGTCATTCCATTTTGGAATAATGTTTCCTAGAGGGCACCCGGTATTTCCTTGACAGAATGGTACACCACAGTCCATGCATCTGTAAGATATGGAATATCTTACGTTACGATACACAGAAAGAAGCATGAGAAAAAATTGACATACCTCGCAGCCTGCTCGCGAATATTGCTTCGGACGGATTCAAAATCATACACTTCATCCCAATCTTTTACACGTTCCTCGGGCGCACGATACAACTTTTTTTGGCGATTGTATTTGACAAATCCACTAAAGCAAACAATGATGACAGGTATGACATGACTCGCTAAACGTTTTTTTTTTGTTTATAACTTCGCCATACGATGATTATTTATGCCTTATCAAGCCGTCAAGTTCATATTAGAACCCTCTGAACAACAGACTCATCTTTGGAAGCTGAACTCCTTAGTAAGAATAATCTTTCAAAGCTTTCCACTCCGTAAGTGGCTAGAAAATCGCAAAACCATGAAGCCTACCGCAGTTTATCAAGCGGCTCATTGTTCTTCTTCAAGTGAGGAGGCACAATAATATTTTCGATATCAACATCTTTGTTGACATGGCGCAAGAAATCATTCGAGTGTAAAAGCTGAAAGAAGGAGATTGCGGAAGCTTTGAAGAATTTGTAAAATTTTAGAAAAGACTTGAATAAAACACCTCATCGTCAGACAATAGCTCCTCGTCATTATCAGACTTTGTTTCATCCTCCTCATTATCCTCGATAGCATCCTGTACATCTTCCTCATCTGTAAATCCGACGACGTCTTGAGGTCGAGGATTTCTCGAAAGTCGGCGTTTACGCTGCGAGATCTGCAAAAGATTGACTGTTTAAATGGCCACGGACACCCTAGATAGAAAAAATATCATGCTTGTATAAAGTGAGAAAGATGCAATGTGCATTCACAAGAATCTCATTCGGTGTTTCTAACAATACGAATTCGCACAAACACTACAACAACTACTAGTCACTATTTGACTAGATGCACTCGTTTGTTGGAAACCTTTGGCACTTCGAGCCGTATATTCGACTGACCCTCGCGCTAAAATCCATAACAGACTTTGTTCGACGGTGGAGATAAGATAGGCAAGATATACAGCTTATTTAAATGTGCTTACGCTAAGTTTCTTCTTTGCAGATAACTTTTTCTTGTGGATGAGGGTAGGAGCAATCTGCATGTCCATGGAAAGAGCACGCTCTCGAGGACGACCTTCTATATCACCATTCATGTCACCCTAAGAGTAAAAGTTTCCTACTCAAGTTTTAGAAAAAGAAGGGAATATAATCGAACATTTGCTTTAGCGGCCTCTTTCTCCTCAGCAGCAAGTCGATTCTTTTCTTCCTCCTGTTCTTGAAGTACTCTTTTGTAATCTTTTGGGAACACCTTAAAAAATACATGCAGCATTTCTGTAGCGTAGAACACATGGAAAATTACCTTAATGATCTTTGAGTGCTCTGTTTGCCAATCATCAAGGATACGCTGGCCTAATTCGGACCCGGTAAGTTTAACGAATTCTTGGATTCTATCACGAATGAAGACGAGATCATCTTCGGTTGGAGTGTCTAGGTCAACCGTGGCCTCATTGATTCGATTGGTGAATGGGTCGCCTCTGAAGACAATTACTTTAAAAATTGTGGAAAGCCGAATAAAACATGCAGAAATCTGACTGATTGAACAAGAAGGCTATTCCACCGCTCATAGCAGCTGCAAAGTTTCTTCCTATGCGACCGAGTACAATCACTCTTCCTCCAGTCATATACTCGCAAGCGTGATCGCCAACTGCCTCAACTACAGCTATACATCCAGAATTTCTTACTGCAAAACGCTCTCCCGCAACACCGCGGAACCAGCATTCACCTAAATTACAGTATTTGCTAAAGGTACTTGTAAAGGTAAAGTAAAGCAAGCTAACCGGATGTGGCACCATAGAGGGCTACATTGCCAATAACCGAGTTCTCTTCGGATTTGTAGATAGCATTCTTCGGTGGATATACAATTACAGTACCTCCAGAAAGGCACTAGACAAAAGAAATGGTTCACCTACATTCCTTCGGGAATTTTTAATGTGTATACGACATACCTTTCCAACGTAGTCATTCGCATCACCTTCCAACTCCACTGTAACACCTTTGGCGAGGAACGCGCAGAACGATTGACCGGCTGAGCCTTGCAGAGTGATTTTTACAGATCTTTCGCCAATCAGCCCCTCTTCGCCATAGCGTTTGGAAATCTTGAATTGACATTTGATTTTGTCATGGTACAGGATACAAACGTTTCAAACCTCATAGCTGATTCTGGTGCCAAATGCTCGATCCAAATTAGTGATTGTTTTCTCAGCAATCTTCAAATGTTGCCCAGGTTCAGCAAAAACTTTCGGCAAATACTTCAAGATTTCTCTCTCTAGCTCTCCAAGTTCGATAGTCTAAATAATGGTATTATGCTGGATTCAAATTCGTTCCTCTTAATATCTTCACCTGTTTAATGGTTCCACTTTTGGTGGATACGTTGGGAAACATGTGATGAACATTTTTCAGAATGCATCCAAATTCAAGCAGTGTTGCCTAAGAAGAAAAAGTTTTCTGGCCACATTCCTGCGAAAAACTTAACTCATACCTTCTTATTGACTGGATTTGGACTAGCATATAAAAGATCGGTTCGTCCAATAGCCTCACTAAGAGTGCGTAGACCCAATCGTGATAGGAAGTAGCGAACCTCTTCGGCTACCATAAACATAAAGTTCACAACATGTTCTGGTTTTCCTTCGAATTTAGCTCGGAGAATAGGATCCTGGAAAGTCAAGGGCGAACATATTAGGATATCTAGATATAAAAATCGGCTAATGAGAAAAATTGGATTATTCAAAGTTCTTGATAAAAGAAAATGATGCACCTGCGTAGCAATTCCTACAGGACAGGTGTTCAGATGACACTTTCGCATCATAGTGCATCCAAGAACTATAAGAGGTGCCGTGGACATTCCGAACTCGTCTGCTCCTAGCAGTGCAGCTACCATCACATCACGACCTGAATCAATGTAAAATGGGATTTCTCTTTATCAACTCGCCATGATGCTTACCAGTTCGAATCTGTCCATCAGCTTGTATAGTGACTCGGCTCCTAAGGTTATTCATTGTGAGAACTTGATGAGTTTCAGCGACACCAAGCTCCCATGGTAAACCAGCATGTTTGATGCCAGTCCAGCTGGAAAGTAGCCGTTAGTACGCCTCACTAAAGATTATCCCAATAAGAGGTACCTGGAAGCGCCAGTGCCACCATCGTGACCCGATATCGTGAGATGATCCGCATTTCCTTTCACAACACCCGATGCAATGATGCCCACACCCGCCTCAGAGACAAGTTTCACACTGACTCTAGCTTCGGGATTGGCACATTTGAGATCATATATCAACTGTGCTAGATCCTCAATTGAATAGATATCATGATGCGGAGGCGGTGAGATCAGCCCCACTCCTGCGGTAGACTTCCTAGTGTCGGCAATATCCTTGGTAACCTTATGGCCAGGCAATTCACCCCCTTCTCCAGGTTTGGCACCTAGTAACAGACATCAGCTATGATAACAACGACTCCGTAGATTTTTCCAATAATCCTAGGTGATCCTCTGTGACAAAGAAAAGAACCCACCTTGAGCCATCTTGATCTGCAATTCGTCGGCGTGAGCGAGATAGGACGAGGTGACTCCAAATCGAGCCGAAGCAACCTGCAAAATTTGATCAATTACGGCATGCAGAACATGGTTGTACCACATAATGAGAATAATCAAGACATTGGATCCCGATCCTAGAAATAGCCACTAACAGCTTCAAGCCGGACCATGGTTTAAGCATCAGAAAAGTATGGATTTCAGGATGGAAACTAAGTTGTCAGTTAAGAGCAACCGCACGAATGACAGTCACATAAATCAATTTTGAAAAAAAAATAAAAACGACAGCCTCTTTATTTCTTTCTTTGGATTTAGCAATCAACCTGATGTATTCCAACCCTGGCACGAAATTTAAAAAGCTGATCCAATATATGTTAGCCCAAAAAAATATCTAACAAATGCCTTCGCAGCCATCTCATTACCACAAGAAGCAATTTTCTAACATAAAAGCAAAAATCTCTTTACTGTACAGTTTCTTTTCAAGATCTTAACGTGGATTTTTTAAAATAATTTGTTACAGCATCTGTGCTTAATGAAACTGGATTGGCGGTGGCAGTAATCG